GCTTGTACAGGCTGCAGGGCAGCAGCAGAGATTTCTCTCATAGCTCACCAAATCACAGTGTTCTGTCATATTTTAAGCACATGAACACAGATACTAAGGGTTTGATCCAGAACCCATCAGAAACAATGGAGATATTTCTACTAACTTTGAATATGATTGTAAATTAACAACAAAAATATAATCTACATTTTTCTCCTCTGCATTCAGACTTAAACATTTTAAGAATTCTAAATAATAATAATAAGGGCAGCCTAGTAGGCAATTCATTTCACTGAGGTACCGTAAAAAATCCAGCCAGGAAACTGAACACATAACAATAATAATAAGAAACAAGCAGAGTTTGTATACAAGTGGTAGGAACATGGGTAAGTAAATGGAGGAACTTACCTACTAGTGCAAGATGTTTATACAGACATTGCAGGGGTAATAAAAACATAGCAGAAACAATAACTGGAGTCACTGAATAATATAGCTTCTTCAGAAAGGAAGGAAATAGAGCTGGTAGCATTACATGAAACATGAAGGTAATTTGTGATGAAATTAGTTATGTCAATAAAACAGATTCTGCTTGCATCAAGCACTTCAAGCATGAAAAAAGTATTTTTGCAGAATTAATGCTTGTGTACAATCCCCAATAACTCTGCAGCATGATTGTAGAGAGGAATGTGAGTAAGAATCTGTCATTAAGGGATGTTGAATCTCACAGATTTCTTCACCAGTCACTAAAACAACAAATGACATTGATAGTTTATATCTGGTTTTTGCTTTCAAATATGTAGGTAACAAAATGTGACCTCTAACCAAGCATTCAGACATGGAGTCAACTAACATTATGTGACAAAAATAAGTCATAGTCAGCAAATTTTAATAAACAAAGAAACTAGTTAAAGAAGTGAAAAAATCTGGGCCTTCATGGATATTTCTGCAAAGAAGATATCAAATTTGCTCAAGTTCCACATAACCGTGTTGTATCTGACAACATGGGATGAGGTTAAATCATCCAGGAAGTCCCCTCTAGGCCTATTTGCCTTATTTTGTCAGTTAAATGCAAGCGCCTTAAGTAAGCAGAGGTAATTCTGAGAATTTGATAACTTTGGCCGCTGTCAGGATTCTCTAACATTCTTTGACTCAGTGTTGAATTTGGGCATTGGCTGCTGGACAGCAGAATCTTGGTTTTGTTCTTCTGATAGTGCAGATGTTTGAGATATGGGACAGGATATTTATTATCTACTCCGCTGGCTATCTATTAAACCTGCCAGTTCATCTAGAGACTCTCATGCAGAAGCCTTCTGCATAGACCAGCCCTCCTTGTCTCCCTCGTCTCTGAACAGTATCAAGGAATATATGGCTGGTAGGGCATGTGTAGAGTCTGTACAGGCTAGTGAGGAAGACAAAACCGGGAAGAGAGCCAGACATTGATGACACTGAAGTACAGAGACATCCAGCCTGGAGAAGATAAGGCTTAGAGGGATCTTTCTAAGGTATGTAAACACCTGAAGGGATGGTGCAAAGAAGACAGAGCCAGGCTCATTCCAGTGGTGCCCAGTGAGAGGACCAGAGTCAGTGGGCATGAAATGAAAAACAGGAGGTTCCCTCTGAACATCAGAAACACTTTTGTACTGTAAGGGTGACCAAGCACTGGAACAGGTTGCCCAGAAAGGTTGTGGAGTCTCCATCCTTGGAGATACTCAAAAGCCACCTAGACATGATCCTGAGCAACTGGTTCTAGGTGGCCATGCATGAGTGGGGGGGGTTGGACAAGCTGACCTTCAGAGGTCTCTTCCAACCTCAGTCATTCTGTAATTCTGTAAGCAAGCTTTACGCATTTTAGTAGGTTTAGTTCTGAAAGCCAGGCAAAGTTTGATGCTTAATATAAATGTTCTGAATAACTTCAGAGATACCCACTCACTGTGAAACTGTGATTTCTGGAGGCAGACTATGGCTTGCTCAGAAAATCAGGCAGGAATTATAAAGGGGATCACTATTATGCTTGTCCATATGCACCCATTATTATTAGAAGCAGCAGGAAAGAACAAGCAGAAAAGATGCTGCAAGAACATTTGAGGGAGATTTTCTAAAGTAGAGAGGTTCTGAACTTTGCATTAGCATGTCACTGGCTCTGTAATGATCCCAGACTTCTCTCTCACTACCTACCAAATGCTGGGTACTTCTCTCTGTATCAGCAATGAGGAGCTCTCAGCCTGGAAAATGAATTAGATTATGAGAAACTCCTACAGTCCAGAGATCTATTTGAAGGATTTCTGAAATTAACCCCTTTTAGTCCTCCTCCTTGTCTCATGATCTGAATCTGTGTCTCCCCAGTTTAATACCACTGGAGCTGCTTTTCTGACTTGCACGTAGTAAATCATGTCTTTTCCCTCATTCCTCTTAACCTTCAGCCATATGTTCTCCATATGACAGTATATCATTATGGGTCCCAAACAGTTCAGCTGTGAGCGAGTTACTTCAGAGTGTGTCTAGACATGCTATTCATGTTATACCTCAGAAATCACAAAGACCTTTAAAAATGTTGATTCAGGAAATGCTGAAGGATTTTCTGAAGGCTGTTTTGTGAGGGATATGCAGTGTTGTTATTTCAAGGAGTTCTTACCCAAGACCTTCTAATGCTGAGTTTTGCCTGTGTAGTGACTGGGGAAAGGAGCTACTTGGCCTATATATTTCGTGGCTGAGCTCCTTTTGCACAAGCTAATTTCTTTTCACTGGAGACCTATGTAATGTCAACTAGTTTATCTGATTTATGAAAAACATCTTGATTTAGGTTTTAGATCATAGCTAATCCTATACAAAGTGAAGGAGTGAAAACAGACAGTGATTTACTTGCATAACACAATAAATGCATTATTCCTTTTGCACCCTGATTAAATATTGCAAGAGAGGATGAACAAACAGATTGGTCTCCTCCCACCACATATCTGCATTGCCTTCACTCAGGGAAATAAAGACTGCATGGATTAAAAAGTTGCAAAGGGCATTAAGGCATAAGATAGTGAAACAGGCACATGCATTGAAGAAGTCTCAGTTCAATAGTATCAGTCCTCTTACGAGCAATGTCAGCCTCACTGCTAATGCGGAAGCCAGGGAGGAGAACGCAGGTAAGATCTTTCTATACCACGGCATAAGCAAATCACAATTAATTGCAGCCATTGCCATGATAATTTAGTATAGTACATTCTTTCTGTCTTTTAAATCTTGACTTTTGAAAACTATTTTACTCTGAGCTGCTTGAGAGAGAAACTGCCATTCTATCAGCAGTGCCTGTGAAGTGACCTTACTGCTTTTGCTTATAATTTGAAACTTATGATTCACATTTAAGACAATATTAACAGCTCCTAAGCTTTCTGTGACTAATATTCACAAGCTTTTAGACAAAGACTCTTAACATTTTTTCCCTAGGCACCCTCTGAAGGAATCTTTCTCTGAATCACAATTTGTGCATATGCAATTAATTACCTTCAGACTATTAGACAGGCTGATCATGTGGGAAATGACCATTTCGTTTTCACATAGAAAGAGCCTTTGCCTTTTATTGTCACATGGAAACAGCCCTTGCACTGGCATCTTGATGATGCTCTTTCTTCCTCAGTTCGCTTGATTAGATCTTTTGATTGAAGTACTCAAAAGGCATAATTTCATAAATACACTTGAAGCAATTCTACACAGACCACCTCATCCTCCATAAATTAATTCTCATTTTATTACTGAATTTTCACATACCATTATAAAATGTTGCATTATGATAGGTCAATTATAGAATTGTGTACCTTGTAGACGCCTCTCAGTGTTGTCTGTATAAGTTACGTCCTCCTAATTGATGGCAGGATAAGACAATCTTCACTTAGAAAAATGCTTTAACTTCTGGAGTTCTCTAACCAAACATCCTTCCCTTTTGTTATAAAGATACAAACTGTTTTATTAAAATGCAAATTGACTGTGGGTCATCAAACTGTTCTGAATATCATTTATACTGGTTACTCATTTTTATGTTAATATGCACCTTAACAGTTCTGTAAAGAAAATTATTTGTGGCTATAACTGTATAGATCCATTCTGACAACAAGAAAGAACTTAAAATTTTTCTGAACTTTCCCGTAACAGTAATTGGTGGGTGCATGAGCAACCTGCAGACCCATAAATAGCCTGTTGTCTTAAAGTATTCTGCTTTAAGTATGTATACTCTGACTGGTAGCTCTGTACTATACATGAGACAAGACTTGAAGGTAAAGGTAGTATCTTTTACTTGACTATGTGGTTTAGCTAAAAGTATTGAACTGATTTTGAGACATTTGCCTAGATTTTTCTACTAAAAAGCTGTTATATCTACCTACAAATTTTTCTTGTCATTGTCCTTGAACCATCATGGCTATAACAAAATGCCTCTAAACATCTCTATGATAGGCAAGATACAGTTTAGTTTATGCCTAGAATAGGAAATGACTGTAGGAGTCCTGGATGTCTGATGGAAAGTAATGAAATTTAATAGGAAACTGTCAATACCATGATCAATGCAAAAAGTATTTCTTTACGCACTTGCACCCCTAGTCATTGATTCTTAAGTCCAAGAGTGCTTATTATTTCCTTTGTTTTTTCCTTTTACTCTTCACCAAACAATGGTATTTCTTAACAAACAACCCTCCAAGTAAACTTGCATTTTATCTTACAGAAAAAAAGTAATCTGTGGACCACACTGAAAGCAGACAAAAAAAAAAAAAAATAGGGAAGAAATATTGAGAAAAAGGTGTATGTCTGGATCCAGCTAAATTTTCCAGTTGTGAGCTTCCACAGAAAAGAAATAATGCTGGCATTGTTTATTTGAATTACATTTGCTGGCAGACAAACTCTACCTTTTTGTCTCCACTACTGAATCAGTATGTTGATCTAATTTATTTTACTTTTTAGTAGACTACTATTTGATTAAGAAAAAAAATTACACTGCATATACAATAACTGAAGTTGTCACTGTTTTTTTTTTCTCTTTGTAGGTGATGTCATTGTCTATATTAATGAAGTTTGTGTCCTTGGACATACTCACGCAGATGTAGTCAAACTCTTCCAGTCTGTTCCTATTGGTCAGAGTGTCAACTTGGTGCTATGTCGTGGATACCCTTTGCCCTTTGATCCTGAAGATCCTGCCAACAGCATGGTGCCACCCCTTGCAGTAATGGAGAGGCCTCCGGTAGTGGTAAATGGAAGACATAACTATGAAACTTATTTGGAGTACATTTCTAGGACTTCTCAGTCTGTTCCAGACGTAACAGATCGACCACCACACTCCTTGCAATCCATTCCAGCAGATAGTCAGCTTGATAGCACATTCCCACCACCTGCCCATGATGATAATGTATCAATGGCTTCTTCTGGGGCCACCCAAGCTGAACTCATGACCTTAACCATTGTGAAAGGGGCCCAGGGCTTTGGCTTCACTATAGCAGACAGTCCTACAGGACAGAGGGTGAAGCAAATTCTAGACATTCAGGGATGTCCTGGTTTGTGTGAAGGTGACCTCATTGTTGAGATCAACCAGCAGAATGTACAGAACCTGAGCCATGCAGAAGTAGTGGATATACTTAAAGAATGTCCTGTTGGAAGTGAAACTTCTTTGATTATCCATAGAGGAGGTAAGTTTGGAAAGTCTGTACAATTACAAAAATGTGTGTAAAAGGTTCTAAACCATAAGGCATACATATATACTCACTACATCCTTGTGTGCTAGATTGGAAATTAATTTCTATGTTGTGGGAGGTAACACCATTGGTTCTGGAAAAATGTGTCTGCAGTTAAGTATCCTAGGCAAAATCTAAGCTGCTTGTGCATTCCTTTTTGTGTTTTGAGTGTCAATGATCCCACCTCTTTATAAGGGTAAAACTAGAGCAGTTCCAGACCTTTCACAACATAGCAAGTTGTATGGTGTCTGCAGCAAACTCTTATTGTCCCAAAGCAGTGCTGCAAGCTTTAGATATAATTGTGTATATTGACTCATTACAGTAAAACAAAGAGCAATCTGTGAGCCCTTTACAAGGTTACTGGTTTTGATAAGCTATTTTGCCTCCTTCACTGTAAAGGTGTGGTACAACAGGTTTGTTACTTTCTTGACAGCAAAGATCCATAGTATGTTTTTTCTCTGTTTTTAAAATAATAGCTTCTAGCAACTTAGTTTTTCTGTCTAGCCTGACACATTAGGCTTGAATATGCTCCACTGGAAGGGGAGGGTCAAGATTTATCTGTAAGGAAACAATAACAGAAGAAGAAATTTTAATACCTGGACAGTGATAAGTAATTTCATAGCTTTTAATATTTTAGCCAAAAAAGTTTCTTCAGTGGCTTGAGATGAGCATCCATCACAATTTATTATCACCTGAACCGAATAATGATTGAATTTCTTTAAGATCTTCGTTCCTCTAAAGGCATTCATATGTCACTTTATACATGTTACTCTGTGCTTCCAAATTAAAAAATAAAAAGGAGCCTATACAAAAATACTAAATATTTTACTTCTGAAGATTAGAGGTTGGGAAGTGAAGCTTTAGTGTTTGTGTATGCCAAATTTTTGTCATTAGAAAACCTATAAATCCTTAGAACAAGGAATATAGTAACTGTTATCAAATTGCAGAACTAATAAGCATAAGGTGTTTAAAACATCCGTAGATTCACATAGTCAATAAAGTATTTTTCATACCTATATTTAAACAATGATTTATAAGAGACAAAATCTGACATTTCTTTCTAATTAAACCAAATTAAGAGTGATAAGTAAAGGCCAAGTGGTGTCACTGTTGTGTATGAACTTGGAGAAAGCTAATTGTTGCAGAGGTGCTATATTAGTATTAAATCTGGTTTTATTTAACATCCATCAAGGTTCTGGAACAGCGGAATAAGCAACATTCTTTTCTTCTGAAGATGCTAACAAATTGTGGAGAATTGCATAGCAAAAGAGAGTATGAAGGGAATTAGAAGGGTTAATGTAACCCTGAAAGATGGGATTTTATTTTGAAAAATGTAAGCGAATCCCCCTCTAGAAGAAAACAATTCAGAACACCAATCTTCAGAGAGAAGTGGAGTGTGAAATCCAGTATGTTGAACAAGCTTGTGTAATAATAGACAGCAAAATAGATATTTCAGCAATCAGTGCAGGACAGTAGCAAAAAAAGAACCCTGAAGCAGCAACATACTCAAGCCCATGAGGATAATTCCCCTCTCTCAAGAGGATTCTTCTTAGAGCATTGATTCGTGATCGAAACCAGTTGATCAACATGATAGTTTAACAAGTTCTGGTACATTTACTGAGCTGTGGTTATTTTCTACATATCACTGTGGCAGACAGTAGATACTGGACTGAGCTCAGCCCTCAATAAAAGCAGTGTAAATTTGCAACATCTTGTCTTCTGTCAGGCCAGAGGTACAAATAGATACCCTAGGTCCAAATGTGATAGTGTGATCCTCAACCCTCTGTATCTGGGGCAGGGGATGAGTTGCTGTTTTAGAGAATGCCAAGAAGAGAAAGAGAGCTTGTTTTTTTCAAGGTAAAACAATGGCTGATACTGGAGCAACTGTTTGGGAGTACTACAGAGTGACTAGATTTAATGGTGTGATACAGAGCAAAGTAAAGTTTACTATCAGAAATCTATGTGTATCAGAAATAAGGGTATACCTTAATGCAAGGTTGTTAGACTCTGAAATTTAAGAAAATGTGTACTCGTTTGAGTTATTCAAAAGAAGTGAAAAAAATGCAGTCTACATGAGATGGCTAAATCACAGCTTGAGAGAAATATGAGAACTGTTTTAAGAGGACAACGTGGGTATTTTATTTTTTTCCCATAAATTCACAGGAAATGGGAACCCATGTGACCAAATATGTATCAATAATGCAGTTAATATCTATCTGTATAGCTAGTTGTCATGTCTCCTTTTATAGCTCCTGGGCAGAAATGGGCCTTTCTAGTGTGCATTTCATGTCATTCCTATGTGGATATTTCAAATAAGCCAGGTGAACCCTAGAAGTATATATTCTGCTTGACTGACTATAAAGGGAATTGAGTAGGATGGATTCAGATGTATGTGTCTATCCCACATGTTATGAATAAGAAACAGATGATAAGATTTGGTCATGTGAGATAATGTGAATACAAAACAAAATTCTAGTACTTGGAGAAAGCTGCTATGATTCTAAAATATTTAGTCTGTGACACCATTGAAGCAAGGCATGCTTTCTCATTACTGATGGATCCAGTTGTTATTTTATTATCTCTAATGTGTAGTGACACTTGAATAATACCTTTCTTTTCTGTCATTACCCTGTGCCTCCTGTCTTTAATGTCTCATTTTTTAAGATAAGACCAAAGTAGTATTCCTGCCTGTGGAAGAGGAAGGCTGTGTTTTGCATAAGGTTTTGTGTTGCCTTGTAATGTATTCTGTTTCAGATGTGAATATGTCCTAACTGCATATTTCACTGTGTCAAATCCACTTCTGTGACTTAATTTCTCTCTCATCCATCAATCTTACTTACATTGCAAACAGGAAACAGATCAACATTGGCTGAGATACATTCTGACTATAGGGAAAAAAAAATCCTATATGGGAAAAAACGCTCTCTCATGTGCATGTAGAATGCATGCTACATTATTTAAAAAGCCATTTTCCATCAAGCTTAGGAGGTCAACAGCCAGAGTCTGCTGGAGAAGGAAAAGATGGAGGGAATGGCAGTGCCCAAATTTAAAGAGGCCACTAAAGTAAACTATGAACCAATACCAGAGATTTGTCATGGGGTACAATTCAGCTGGAGGAAGCAATTTTAAAGTTTCTAAAGCAGAAATAGTAATGTACCTGCTTCTTAAAAAAAATTATAATCATGGAAATAACATCATTTTGTATCTAAGAAAATACTAAGCACCAGTTGTTTAGATGACAGCTATGACACTGTATGGCTAGAGATCTTACAATCTTTGTGTTTATTATTCAGGTTCTTTGCTAAACAAAGATGCGCTACTTAGTGTGGTTTCTTTGCACCTGTTTTTGCTGACCAGCCGTATGGTTTTCATTTACTGTAAACTGACAGAAGTGTTCATACTGAAAAAAAAAAAAATTAAAAAAAAAGATGGTGGAAAAGTGTTGCCTTCAAAAAAGGAAAAATGAATTATTAAAAAAAGGCAGAAAAAGCTATTAAAGTGTTTGTTGCTCAAGTAAATTTACCCCTTTCCAGATTTACTTCAGCCTTCACACTTCATCCTCACCTTCTGCAGCAGCCTGCATTGAGTATAGGCTGATGAAATAGTGTTGAAGAGCTCTGAAAAATCAGTCTTTCCTAATGTGGATAGAGGAGAAATTCTGCTTTAGTCCAGAACTACTGAAAACCAGCACAAAGTGGTTGAATTAGTACATACTAAATTTATGTAGAACAACATATTCACTATTAGGACATCAAAAATTGGTTTGGGCATGTGCTACTAAATGAGCTAACCAAGCACCTGACATATGCCGTCTCTTTTGGAAAGTACCTTTGAAATATTTGAGCCTATAGACAGCAGCCTAGCCCCAGAAGTGTTCCTGTCTAAAAAAGAACTGACACATTCAAATGCAGATCTGTTAAGACTGTGTCTGAAATACTGGTGTTAAGGAAATCTGAAGACAGCCCAGGACTGATTCATGGAGCTATGGCAACTCCTAAACAAGTGATGTGACTGAAACATTAAAACTAAATGCAAAAAGTGGAAGCCTGACAATGTTCCTATATCAGACAGCTGTTTCATAATGATAAAATCCAGGCTTTGCAAAAGTGAGACTGTTAGTACAAAATGGAGCCAGAGAACTGACGCACTGTCCATAGTGGTTAATTGTTAGCCCACTCCTGTCATGGGACTGGAATAAGCCAGCAGCTAGTTTCACCCTGACACAATACAGTGGACAGCATGGGCCACACACAGTTCATAAACAATCAAGATGAGGAGAATTTAACTTTGTCGATGTAAACTGTGAGAATAAAAGGAAGGCTAAGGATTTTTCTCAGATTTTGTGTAAACCCCAGTAGAAGTTTCTGACTTCTTAAGGCTGCTACCAGGGACCAGTGCACCACTTTAAGCATCAGCAATTTCCAAAATGGCCAGAAATCGCACAAAAAACATCTTTGCATTTTCTACTGAATAGACCTAGCCCTTCAAAATGAGCAGGCTTCAATTTAAGGAATACTACATCCTCAGTGCCCTATCCACAGATTAATCTCAGTTTTATCTTTCTACCATGGACATTTTTTTATGTCCAGGCTTGCTATAAGATGTCTTTCAATTCCTCTGGTCAGGAAAGCTCATACTTCTTTTTCTTCCAGTTGTACTCTCCCTTGAGAAAGCTGCACAAGATAAAGCTGCAGGGAGCACCATCACTCTGCTAACACTAGTCTGGCCTGGGCAGTTCTGATTCCATGACCTCAGCCCACCACTGACATCTCCAGAGGTTTTCATTCAAAATGGAGTGTACCTGGTGCAAACTGGAGACCCATTATCTCATGGCTTGCTCATCCCCAGTTGAGGACTTTCTAGTCAACAGCACTGAGGGGTTAAATTAAGTTGGTAGGAGAATGGTGTAGGTTTTTTATTTGGAACTTACAGAATTTTTCTGTCATCCTGCTGTC